TCTATATTCAGAAACGCATAAATGAAAACAGTAAGTAGAGAGAAAGAGAGAGAAAGAGAGGCAGGGGAAAGAGAGGCTGCAAGATAAAAAGAAGAATACACGAGAGAATTTAGGAGAAGAAAGAGAACGTATGAAAGAGAGAACTTAGAAGAAAAAGGGAGAATAGGTGAAAGCGAGAAAGGTTGACGCAATCTCTGCCTTATTTCGCCCAGCTAGAGCACCTTGTAAAACACCGACCTTCTATAGAGAGGGATGCCAACTCGTCTTTTTCTCGCCCTCGGCAGTGACCTTTTCACTCGGCATTCTTGAAAAATAAAATCACGCCGTATTTTTTATTTTTTTTTTATTCATTCTCGTCATTATCTTCATTTTTATTACCGTTCTTGTTTTTTTTTCTTCTACATTCGCATCGGTAAAGTCAATACGTAAAAGTAACGCTTTTAATATTTCGCAAAAGAAACGAAATGAAACAAAATATCAACATCAATATTAACACCTTACTTAACCATTGCCTAAGAAATAATAACATTGAGAGAGAGAGAGAGAGAGAGAGAGAGAGAGAGAGAGAGAGAGAGAGAGAGAGAGAGAGAGAGAGAGAGAGAGAGAGAGAGAGAGAGAGAGAGAGAGAGAGAGAGAGAGAGAAGGGAGAGAGAGAGTGAGAGAGGAAAGAGAGGAGAGAGAGAGACAGAGACAGAGTAAGAGAGAGAGTGAGACAGAGAGAAAGAGAAAGAGAGAGAGAGAGAGAGAGAGAGAGAGAGAGAGAGAAACGTATTTAAATTCATCGATTTTCTCCTCCTCTGAATTTGCCTTTTGAAAGATGCTACCCCGTCATTTACTGTGTTTATTTCTCGTAATGACCTGTGACACTGGGACGAATAGTTTGTAAACTTCATATTTAAGGTAAGCTTCCTTAGTTTAATTAGATTTGGCTGGGTTTCACTTAATATGTAGGTGTGTGGAAAACCACTTGTGAAATATACAAATGAGCAATATTATGGTAATTATATAATTGACGTGGTTTAAAATTGTAGATGTGGGTAAAAATAGCATTCTCTCTCTCTCTCTCGCTCTCTCTCTCTCTCGCTCTCTCTCTCTCTCTCTCTCTCTCTCTCTCTCTTACCTTATCACCATCTAATATATCTATCTCTATGTCTATCTGTTGTTGTTTTTTCGTTTTTTGTGTGTGTATGCACGACATCCAGGATTTATTCTCTAGTAAAACAAACTTTATTTTTCTCAGTGTATTTAAATAATAGCCAATAGTGGACAATAGGACTAAACGTTGGCACGCAAAGTATATACAGATTTCTCACATTACACAGGATTACTGCTTTTCTTTACAAAAAAACTTACAAGATACACCTTATTTACACTGCTTACATTCTATCTAACAGGTTCCTTTTTTGTGGTAAAATACAATAATTAATAAAGATAATAATGATAACAATAATGATAAAAAAACGTACTTGGTCCACTTACAGACTAGTGACTGGAGACACGCTTTTCGAAAATCGTGTAACCTCGTATGCGTAAGGGGACAAGATAAAAACCGATTCTTGATTCCATCTTATCTCTCTTTTAATGTCTATCTAATAATATATTTGTATATAAAAAAAATCATATAGTAATAACTTCAATAACACTGGAATGGAACGAAAAAATATCAAATGTTCATGTGGTCCTAGAAATAGTACAGAAATTATCATTTTGGCGCAAACTCGTCAGATATCGTCTCTTTGTTATCCTTGTCTGCACAAAACATACCCTTGTGAATATATAAGTTTTATAACGCGTATCTTTTTTGCGTTATTAGTATTAAGTAATTCTTCTTATTTTATTTTGTAGGCTACCTGATGTATTTTTTTTTATATATATTCTTTGTCTCTGGCTTCTTCGCTCTGCTTCTCGCCTCCTTCTTTTGTTTTTCTCGCAGTTCAGCCAATCAGGAGGAACGCACAATTGGCACCGCCCACTCCATTATGTTGTCCAATCAGGAACAAGATCATTACCAGCACAAATCCTTCTATGTAGCCTGAATGCAAATGATTAGCTTCATTATTATTTTCTTAGCGTTCCCTGCGCAGTTACAGATGTAAAGGGAAATTCATGGGTGTGTTAGAAGTTATTTAATAAACTGACTTTTTTTTTTTGTTTACTTTAAACGAGCTACCGAACTTAGGTGTCGGTCTGTTCGCTGGGTTCCGTTTTCTATGCTTTTGGTTCGATGTCTCTTTACGGTGTTCGTTGTGCGTTGTTCGTTTCGATGACGTGAGCTTTGTTCGCGAGCGTTCTTCACTGTACATGTGAACGGGTGGTCGGTGTTCCTCTGCTGTTCTTGTTCTGGTGCTAAACAACTGGATTTTCTCGGAACAGACGTTGTTCATGACAAGGATAACTTTGATGAGGACGTTATTTTGATTATTACCGAGGATTTCCATCCCTCTTGTATGTAAAAAAAAAATCGATATTTATTTATTTATTTTTTTGGTTATGAGTTATTTTTTGTCATTTTTGTTAATAGAATATGGGTTTACATGATTTTAGTTTCGAGTAATGAGGTTTGTAGTTATGAGGTTTAGCGTTCTGTGTAGAAGGGCGGCGCACTGGGCCGCCGTGGACGCGCGGGCGTGGGCGCGGTCGCCGTGGCTCTACCGGGTGAGGTTGTGCAGCCACGGGTGGTACCGGGGATAGCGCCAGCCCGGCACCGCCCGCGCGACCAAGGGGCCGACCTCGGGCGTGGGCTGGGTGGGCTGGCCGGGGTTCGTGGGCGTGGGGTGCGCTGGGCTTGCGGGCGTGGGGCCCTGGTGGGCGGAGGAGGGCGGCGGGGAAGCCAGGAGACGGGACTCGACGCTGAAGCTGATCTTGCTCTTGCTGGTGGGCGCGGGCGTGGAAGAGGAGGTGGGCGAAGCGGGCGTGGGAGGGGCGGAGGAGGCGGTGGGCGGCCGGTCGTCGCCGCAGTCGCTGCTGGAGCCCTCGCCTCGGGACTCGCTGCAGTCGACGTCTTCTGCGGGAGAGAGAAGGGCGGCGTTAGGGGCGGTGTCAGCAGCCGAGGGAAAAGACAGAAAAGATGGAAGGAGAGAGAATAAATCAGAAGGAAGATAGATAGATAGAGAGAGAGATAGATAGATAGAGAGAGAGAGAGAGAGAGAGAGAGAGAGAGAGAGAGAGAGAGAGAGAGAGAGAGAGAGAGAGGGAGGGAGAACGTCAGGAAAAGAGTTGCGTCAAGAAAGAGGCGACGCCGGAAGAGGCGAGGGACGCACAAAGGGCTCATTCTTGTTGCAGTATCAACATCAACATTCATTCCGCTTGCAATAAAGAGACATATTCAAAAGAAGAGGAAGAGTAATAAACCGTAAACCGTAGCAACCGCCTCGCACGCCGCTCGGCAGACCCCGGCAGGCGCAGCCGAGGGCCCGCGACGCGAGCACGAGGCCGCCGGCGAGCGCGGAGGAGGCGCGGCGGGCGACGTACCTGGTCTGTGGTCGAGGTGGGGCTGCACGGAGGGCGCGAGGTTCAGCTTGTCGGCGTGGGCGGGGTGGAGGCCGAGGGCGGCGGCGGCGGAGGGCGAGTAGGCGGCCGAAGGGATGCCCGGGTGCGGCACTCCGGCGGCGCTCCAGATGGGCGACGAGGCGGCGGCGGCGGCTGCGGCTGCGGCGGGGTTGGCCCACGGCATGGACGCGGCCGCGGCGTAGGGGTTGTACAGCCCGTATCCCGCGGCGCGCGCGAAGTCCGCCGCGGCGCGCTCTGCGGCGCGGTTTCTGGGGGAGGGAGAAGAGCGTCAGTCGGGGGCGCTTAGCCTGCCGTCATTAGTCGACAGCATCAGTGCTTTCTATTTCACTATTACTCAAATTATTACAAACAGAGGCGCGCACATACACACACACACACACACACACACACACACACACACACACACACACATACACATACACATACACATACACACACACACACACATACACATACACATACACACACACACACACACACACACACACACACACATACACACACACACACACACACACACACACACACACACACACACACACGCGCGCACATGCATGCATGTATGAATGCATGTATGTATATGCATAGAGACATCACGGCAACCGGAGGCGACAGGCGCCCTCCCGCAGCCGCTGCCGCAGCGCACTCCCACCATTCCAGCAATCGGCCCAAAGGCGCGTAATCTCGCCAGCGATCTCGGCGCCGCAACCTCACACGCGAGCGCACGCAACGGGCGCGAGGGACTCCGCCCTTACCTGAGGATTCTGTTGATGGAGGAGACGGACGGGGCGGTGGAGTTGGTGCAGACGCTCTCCGAGATCAACTTCTCGCGGATCTCCCACGCGAAGATGGTCGGGTTCTCGCGCTTGTACTGCTCGATCTTGTTCACCACCTGCGGCGTCGCCACCTTCGGCTTCGAGCCCCCGATCATGCCGGGGGGCCGGATGGTGCCTGGGGGGGGAGGGGACGGAAACTTAGTTATGGCTCTCGACCTCTTGTTTTCGCATTTCATTTTGACTTTAAACACTATGCGAAGGAATATCTTAACCTTTAAAAAACTTTCCGAATGGAGGAAAAAATTCTACTCGAGACCCGCGCTTACCGAGGAGCTTAGCCATGGCCGCTGTGTGCTGTGAGAGGACGTGTTGTGCCAGGTCGTAGTGACGGGCCGCTGCGGCTGCGGCGGCGGCGGTGGGAGGAGGATACCGTATGCCCTCCATGGGCGCGACGCCTCCTCCAGGAGACGACACGACGGCGGTCTGTGGCGGAAGAACCAGGGGGCGCGCCGGGCTGTACATCTCCCGACTACCTGTGGATGAAGAAAGCGACTGCGTTGAATACCTCGCGCGGGAAACGCCCTTCGGGCTGGGCTGGGGAGGGGGGGAGGGGAGACCGGGCGCCTTCTGCAGTGGCCGGCAGAGGCTTCCTCCGCCTCCTGAGCTGACTGCCCGCCTTAACGCAGCAACACCTGTTCCGTAACACCTGTGCGCCAACACCCCAGCGACCAACAATCTTTCACATTTCACGGTTAACATTTTACGCGAATTAAGTCCAATTGAGCTTCAGAAGCGAAGGCACAAGATCGATAACTTTATTTTTCTTAATAATCGCGCTGAAGAGTATCATGAACACACAACTTGTACACAAGTGAATAGCTGCACACGTGTTCAGCTGATGTGCACATGTGCGTACATACCAGGTAATCACGTATAGTAACCCATCTTGAAGATATATAATGCAGTTTTATACTTAATTCTGTATCTAAACATACACCCCGCCACTCGAAAAAATGGCAGTTCCTCAAAATGCAATATTTATGCAAGAATACAAGCTGACGTTGTTACCAAATGCGTGAATACAGAGAATTGTCAAGATACAGAAAGATTTCCTTTTTTTCTTTCTCTCTTTTCTTCTCGTTTCTCTACTATTGTATTTTTTATTTTATTTTTTTCTCTGCGAATCTTTCTCTTTCATCCTTTTTCTTCGCTTTTCATTTTAGTTTTTGCCGTTTCTCTTTTCGTTTATCCTTCGTAATTTCTCTTCCTTTTATTCCCCACCCCCCTTTCTGTTCTTCATTTAACCATCTACTCTTTTATTGCCTTTTTCTTTCATTCGTTTATTTTTCTTCTTATCACTTTTTCTTTTAAAATACATTTCTTCTTCTTTCTTTCACTTATTCTAGCTTCTGATCCCAACCTCATATGCGTTTATGTTGTCATAACCTTCCTCTACATATATTTTCTTTGGTTTTGCCTTTTCTCTCTTTCTCGCTTTTGCCATCTTCCATTTCCCTCTTTTATCATTTCCTCCTACCCTCTTTTACCCGGTAATTATATTATTCTATTTTTTTAGCCTCCCGATTTTCTTTCTCTTTCTCTCTTATTTCTCTCTTTCTAACTTGCGCATGTGTTTTTATCTATTTATATTTTCTATTATCTTCCATTTCATTCTTCCCACCCTCTCTTTTACCCTATTAGTTCATTATCATTTCTTTACCCCTCTCTTTCTCCCTTTTCTTTTCTTTTTCTTTTTTTCTTTTTTTTTACTCTTTTCCTTCTCTTTCTCTCTTCTTCCTCTTTTTCTGACTTCCCACCCGTTCCTTTGCACCGGAAGTTGCCTGTTTTGAATACTAACTGACGACAAGCGATTTTCATTCTTATGGACCTGCTGATTAACCAAACTTCCCGGCCATTTTTTCCCCCGTCAACCTTGCAACATTTCAACCTCACAATGTTGCGATTAACAAGCTCGTTGCAAAGTGGGGTAACGAGCTCAATAAAAAAAAGAAAAAAAAATGATGTGGATTAAATTATCAATTAGGTAATATTAGTATCTCGTCGCTGCAATGAATCTTACGTTGCTATGTTGCACGGGATTCACATCTGACGTTAATCCCAACCGGATGTATCATTAAACATTTAATATCTCTTTTTTTTATTTTCATTATTATCATTTTTGTGTTTTATCGTTGCTTTTGTTGTTATTATCATCATCGTGTGTATCATTGTTAGTACAAGTTGTCGTAGAATTCGTATTATTTATATTACTATATTACTGCTATAATTACTACCGTTTATTACTACTCATCATTGTCATCATAACGACGATGTTTCCGTTATTTTTTTCAGTTCGTTGCTTTAGAGGATGATGGGGGGGGGAGGGTAGATTATGGCGGTATTCGCTAATAGGAAATGAAGTTATTAGAACTGAAAAGTTCATACACACATACGTACATACATACATATCTATCTATCTATTATCATTAGTATCATTATGATTGTTGTTATTGTCATTAATAGAATTATCATTATCATCATAACTATCATAATTATCAATATTATCATTATCATTTTTATATTACCAATATACACCATCGCAAGTATTTTCCTTACCCTTAACACTATTACTATCATAACATACGCTTAAAAATCAATGACCAAAAAAAAAAATCATTTAAAACTCCTAAAATAATCCCAAATACCCCCCCCCCCCCAAGAAAAAAAAACAATAGATAAAAAAATAAATAAACAAAATCAAACAAACTAAAATAAATACAAACAAAACAGGCAAAAAAAAAAAAAAAATCCCACAGCAGAAGAGAAACAGTTTCGAAACCAAGCGCCGAAGCAGTGACCACGTGTGAAGCGAGCAGGTGTATTGCTCTCCGATTAATTAAAGGGAATATCGTTCTACATGAATATCCTTGTGATTAGCGAATACATATTGGTGTTCATGAATAGATATATATTTAAATGCATATCTATATAGATAGACAGAAAAATATATTTATACATTTATATATACACACACACACACATACACACACACACACACACACACACACACACACACACACACATATATATATATATATATATATATATATATATATATATATAAAGAGAGAGAGAGAGAGAGAGAGAGAGAGAGAGAGAGAGAGAGAGAGAGAGAGAGAGAGAGAGAGAGATAGGACGAAAGAGAGAGAGAGACATAGGACGAAAGAGAGAGAAATATATATATATATATAGAGAGAGAGAGAGAGAGAAAGAAAGATATACATAGAGAGAGAATGATATAGAGAAAAATAGGGAGAGAGAGAAATAAAGAGAGGAAAATAAGAAGAGAGAGAAAACGTAAATACGGGAAAAGATGTAGATATTTCAGTTCAATATTATTCATTCATCCAACCAGCACAAGACTTTGGGAATTAAATTGCCTCATTAAGTGTTTATGAAACATTTGATAACTATCGATACCGGATATGATTTGGTCGAAATTAGCTTGGTGATAACAGTGATGATAATGATAATGATGACGGTGGTGATGATAACGATGACGGTGGTAATGATGACGGTGGTGATGATAACGATGACGGTGGTGATGGTGATGGAGATGGTGATGGTGATGGTGATGGAGATGGTGATGAGGATGAGGATAAGTATGGTGATGATGATGATGATGAAGATGAAAATAAAGATTGAATATCAAGATAAATATGATAACGAGGAAGAGGAGGAAGAGTATAAGAAAGAGAGAAAGGATGGAACAGGAAGAGGAGGAGGAGGAGAAAGAAGAGGAAGATGAAGATGGCAGTGATGATGATAATGACGTAACATAAAATAACGACACTAACAACAGAAAATAACGATTATTATATTTTAATTAATTATCATAATCTTATCAATTATTGACAATATATCAAAATGAGTAAAAATCATGTCGATGGTAATAACAGTATAAGTACTTTATAATAACGATGATAATGATAATAACAATAATAAGGATACTAATAACAATAATAACAATAACAACAGCAACAGTAATGATAATAATGGTGACAATGATAATGATAGTGATGATAATGATAATAATGATAATGATATTAAGAGTAATAACGATGATTATATTACTAATAATTATAGTAACAATTGATTGAAATTATTGAAATGTTAATAATTACAATAATAGTTGTAGTAGTAGTAGTAGTAGATATAGCAGGAATATTATTAATTATAATCACAATAAACAAAATTACGATTCAAACGATGAATTACAAGATAATGAAATAAATCGAAAAAAAACGGCATTCGACATCCACCCCACGATAAGTGAACTATCCTAACAACAACAATCTCATTATAGGTGAAAATACGTCATTAGCTTTGTTGTCGAGGCTGATGAGTCGATATATTTCATCACGTTTCGTACTCTATGTTGCATCCCGTTTTATCCAGGTTAACACAATAAATAATATCGATAAAGATAACTGATATGATCTCGTTGTGACAGCTGTGATATACACTGGGTTCGTCCGGCAAAAGTCTGGGTGATTGTGGTTGATTTTGTCTAAATTCTTTTTTGCTTTTGGTTTCACCTTTTCTTTCTCTCTATTTCTTTCTCTCTCTTTTCTATTTATCTGTCTTTGTTTTTTCTTTTCTTTTCTTTCCCTGCTCTATCTACCTTTTTATTTTGTATTTCTCTCTCTTTCTCTCTACTGTCTCTTTTTTATCTGATTCTGTCTCTGTCTTTGTCTTTGTTCCTTTTGTTTGTGTGTGTGTGTGTGTGTGTGTGTGTGTGTGTGTGTGTGTGTGTGTGTGTGTGTGTGTGTGTGTGTGTGTGTGTGTACGTGTACGCGTACATGTGCCTTTGTACGTAAGTGTCGACTACTGTGTGTGACATCTGAGCCTTGTGTCTAATATCGATCGTAGTTAGTCTCTTCGGATATTTGTTGAAACGGCCTTTATCAACAATACTATGGTATGCAACAGAGGGCATGGAACTGACCATATCTCGCTTGGTCTTGTTATATAGGGAAAGGTACAGTATACTCCCTGTCGCCCACTATATAATAATATGCTATCTGAGGACAAGTTAAGCAGTGAAATGACTCCCAGTGACGTAGGAAATGAGTGAGCAAGTGTTGTCAGATGGCATATGCTGACAACAGGGATGAGTGTGGTACGTGGAATAAGGAGAGAGAGAGAGAGAGAGAATAAAAGAGGTGGAAAGAGAGACATAAAAGATTGATAATAAAGTTTGAATGATAAATTTCAAAGATAATTATATCGCCAGACGCACTGACAGACAGACAGACAGTCAGTTTGATATATAGATACAGCAACAGATTGAGAATAGATAGAAACATAAATCGGCCATGACACAGACATATAAATAGACATAAATAGAACGATGTCAGAAAAGGGTTGATGGTGATGACTGGGAAATGATAATAAGGGAGAAAGAGAGAGAAAGAAAAAAGGGAGGAAGAAGAGAGTTAGGTGTGGGGGAGAAAGAGAAAGAGAGGAGGAA